TTAGGAAGGCATTAACAAAGACCGAGCATCTCCGTCATCGTAGGAAGCTAGAGTGTGCTGTCTTCAGTACCCTGGGAAGGATAGAGGTAGCCCCATCCGCCCCACCTTCCTCTCAGCCCCAAGAGTGAAGAAGGGGTTAGAATAGCAGAGGACAGCAGCGGTGGTTGACTCAGAGGGCAGATGGGACTTTCCTTAATCCTGGACCCCAATTTTGAAAAGAATCAGACTACCCTAAGAGAAGGAAGGATATTTGGGAGACTAAAATGAGAAAAGTGAATGTTCAGGGAAGATAGTTTCCAGGAAGCAGCAGAGGCGCCAGTCCAGGAAGTGCACCATCCAGGTCCAGGGTCCTTTCAGGGCCCGACAAAGAGGCTGGACCTGGCAGTCTAAAGGCTTCCTATCTCAGTAGAGTTCCCCAATAAGTCAGCTGTCTGGTTTAGAAAATCAAGTGGCTTTGGACCACCATCATCTCTATGTGACAAGAGAGAGCTTCATTTTCCCTTCTCATAATCCCTGAGCCTTACTCAAAATATACAAATAAAAACAGTGTGTTTGCTATGTAAACCCAGCTTCAATTCAGGTCCTCCACTTCCTTCCATCTACCCTGCACTCTACCCCAATTCTCCCTAAAGAGAAATTCTTGATCTTCTACTGGGTTATACCAGAAGTGATAGTCATGGAGCATACCCCCACTCTTGCATATCTAGGGGTTTTTGTGTGATCTACAGATTTACTGTTCCACCCTTCAGTGAGATGAAGGGGTTCAGAATCTATAAAAAATTAATGATGATGATGATGATAATAAGGCACTGTGACATTTCTTACATGGATTAGGATAAAATTTCATACATGATATAGTAATAATCATTCAGCTTGAAAACTTTATACAACTAATATGTATGCCCTTCCTATAGGCATTACATGTTTATTCTCCATAAGCAATGAAGGGTTATTTTGTTTGTTTTGTGGGGGTTGGTTTTGTTTTGTTTTGTTTTAAAACAGGGTCTCACTATATAGCCCCCCCGCTAGGCTTGAACTCACAGTGATCCTCCTGCCTCAGCCTCCCAAGTGCTGGGATTACAGGCGTGCACCACCACGCCCCGTTTCACAATAATGTTTTTAAAAAACCACCAAGATCCTACTTCAGTTGCCCAAGGAAAGGGATTTTTGTATAGTGCAAGGCAGAGTTTTAAAAGGATAGCGGTGTAATGCTGTGGGTCAAACATAAAGGGGAGGAGAGGCATCAGGGAGAAATTCTATACCCACAGAGCTTCTCTGATGTAACTCCAAAGGTTCTGTGTTTTGTTTCCAAAACAGAAACCACTGCCTTGTATTGTAATATTAGTATGAACTGACTTTTTGTATAGGTAGGATTAAGAAAGAACTCACAAAACTGCTAGGACAAAATGGCCTTCTGCCTCAAAAATCACTAAAGCAAACAAGGAAAACTAGAAATCCGTGGGTTAACTCTGGCTCAAAGACTGTTAATGTTCAGAAAGTGTACATTTCAAATTTTAGGTAGGTGTTAACAAATACAAATCGATCCACATGAAAATATTTTGTTTTCTAGCTTTTCTTGAAAAATTAGATCTGGGGCCCTACATATTTACTTGGCAACAATCAGCTGGACCAAGAAACCACTAAACTCCTTAAATACCCCCAGCTCACCACCGTCCAGCACCTTCGGTCCCTGGTCTGTTTCATTCTTGGGCATCCAGTGGTTCCCAAAGGTATCTAACTTGGTGACCTCAGCATCAAAAATGTCAGAAATGATCATGCAATCAGGGATGAGGACTATCCCAGCTTTTGAAGACCAAAGAAGCCGTGGTGTTTTCACATCCTCCAACTGCACTGTACACAAGCCAGCCTTGTGTCAGCTTACTTCCTTTCTGTATTTTTTCTGTGATGAACTAAACGATAAGGCAGATTTCTTCTTAATTAAATTTAAACAATAGCTACTAGCTATTTGGTATATGGGGTACCAAAAGTACACTTAAAGAGCTGATTCTAAACCTAACTCTTCTGATTATAACAGCTTCGGCAGATTAGATTAAATTAATGGGGTCTCCATGTCCTTACTGATAAAGTGGATGGGTTCTACTAGAATGTTCATTGAGATCACTTGCGGTTGACCTATGCCCATCTATACCATTCCACTTATCTAAAATCTACTGTACTTGCCTTTTAGAGATGTTCAAGTTCCACCACCCCCACAAACCTTCTTTAGACTTCCTTCTTTGAATTTTTAAGCTTATCACCAACACCATCCAAATTAGGATGTACTAATTCTCTAGTTGTTTTGCTTTGAGTATAATTTGTTTTGAGTTTATTCACCACATTCAAACAGAAAATTCCTTTAGAGGCTATAACGTTTGATTTTCAAATCCTCCACAGCCTCTTACACTTAACTGGTATTCAATGATTAATTGTTGAAGCTGAATAAAGATACAGAAAATATGTATATAATAGCAACCTTCCCAAAGAGCAACTTTTGTCAGCTCCCTCAAAACTAATTACCTTTATGAGCAACACAACTTGACATCCGATTCAGGAAGGGATAACGCAAGCTATGCCAATGAGACAGCAACTGGGAGATGCTACTAGATTCCCAAATTACTTTGTACATACTCATTGCTTCCTTCAACAGTAAAAAACTTCAACAGGGAAAAAATGTAAGCAAACATTATTCCACTTCTACTACAGTATTATCCACTGAAAGATTTGTTATCCAAGAAAATAAGGACATAAGAAAAATTTCCCTACCACAGTTAAGAAAAACAGTCAATTACTAGCAAGAGGACACAATTTAGACATTTGAAAACTACAGTGAAAATCACCCTGGTTCCTCCCCACCCTTTGTATGTCATAGAAGCTCTGAGTAAGAGATCAGGTTAGGATGTCATGTGGGCGGGGATGGGATTTACCTACTCTCACAGGAAAACAGTGGGATACAGGTTTTACTTGTTCTGGTCACCAAATAATTAAGGCATTTGTGGGTAACCTTCCCCATGGAGGTATTCAACTAGATATGAACTATTACTTGGGTAAGATTTTTTTTTTTTTTTTTTTTTTTGGTCTCAGGAAGCAATTCCGGTACGCCTTAAACTCACTATGTAACCTAGGATGAACTCAAACCCTTCTGCCTCAGGCTCCCACATCCTGGGATTATGGGTGTACCCACCATGCCCAGGTGAGATTTTTATTTTAGAGAGCTGAGAAAACCTACATACATAATAAGCCTCAGTATCTCTTGTAAAAGTCAAATTCTTAATCCATGATTGCCTTAATTTTCCTATTCAACATTTTAAAATAATTGACACTCTGTATTAACACTAATGTAAACTAACACTAACAAGCTGTAACAGCTGGCCAACTCTAGTGGGTTGAAATGAAATGCATTTACAAATTACTCCCCTGTGATGAAACAACACAATATAAGTGTTTCCACCTAACCCATGCATCGTAGAAAGCCAATTTGTTCTGAGATTCACATTATACTCATACAATGCAGGGGGTGAATCAGAAGTGAGTATATCTGTAGAGTGGGAAAGGAATTTATTCAGGTGTGGGAGGGGCGTGGATCACGGAAAAACATAGCACTAATTTATTTTTAAAAGGTGGGAAGTACTGATTAACTATAACTTTTGCATAAATTTTTCTAGGGAATCCCAACAAAAGGCAACAAGGTTTTACAATCAAAGGGTAATGATGTCCATCTCGGTTTTTTTTTTTTTTTTTTAAGAGGCTTAAAATGTTTTTCTAAACTGCTTCTTAATGTTTTCAAACATTTCAGTGTTTTGTTGTTGTTGTTGTTCCTTTGGGGGGTTTCTTGCTTTTGTTTTCTGAGATAAGGTTTCACTATGTAGTTCAGTCTGGCCTCAATCTCAGCGATCCTCCTACCTCAGCCACCCTAATGCTGGGATTACAGGTATGGGCCATCACGGTTGGCTCAGTGATTTGTTTTTAGCTGGTGCTTCTGATCATCCAGTCAATACATCCTCTAGGGAAGCCTGCCAGTCTACCCACACACGTCCTGAAGAAGACTGTCACAACCACATCTGGGTCATCAGCAGTGACAGGCATGCCAGGCCCCAGCCCCGCCATGTTCCTCAAAAGCCCATCTCCTGGCTTAAACCCTAGTTATTCGCTCTAGTCCTTGCAAATAAGATGGACGTAACTCAGTATCTTCTACTTTCGGTCAAGGCCGGTTCTACTCCTCCAGGGTCGGTTCAGCGGAGGTACAGTGCCGCCTGAACGACGGCTGCTTCTCCATGACCCGTAACAAAGCATATTCCTGACCACTCTGCGAGTTTCAGAGGAACACCCTCCAATCCCATGGGATCCCAACCAGGCGTGACCCCGTAAGACCCCGAAGTTCAGCTCTCTGTTCTGCGGAGCCCACCACACGACACACATTTAAGCCTTCGGTAGGGCTTAGTTTTTAAAATGCTCCACACAGTGTAACACAACTGGAGCCTGAAACCCCTTCACTGAGGTGGAGTTCAGAGGACGCGGACATCTTCCCAGTCCCATCTGCTCAACCCCGGGACTGCGCTTCGGCCCGCAGAGCTGTCCGGGGACCCCGCCGGCCGCGGCTCCTCTCTCCTTCGCGGGCGTCGGGGACAGTCCTGATTCGGTCCCCCACCACCCTCCTCTCGGAGGACCACCGGAGCGGCAAGGGTCGCTCCTCTCCGAATTTTTCCACTACTGTCCCCCGAAGAGGCGGGGCTCTCTTCAAGTAACCGCATCAGGCAACCTGGACACCCAGTGACCAGGGTATCCCCACATCAGCCTGGTCAATCGCAGTCGGCGAGCCCAGACGTGACGTCAGGTGTGATTAAACTGACGCGTCACTCCGACGTCAGCCTCTCCTCTTTCGGACGTCCCGTCCCGGGAGCAAAACTCCGGCGACTTTGGGCTCCGCCCCCACGGGGGGAGGAGACCAATGAGAGCGGCCCAGAGGGAAGCCGAGCCAATGAGACGCGCCGGGGGCGGGGCGCGCGGCCGAGGGTGGGGCGGGCGGCGACCGCGGCAGCCCGAGGTCTGGCTGCGCGCAGTCTATGACAGTACGTCAGCAGCGGGATGGCCGTAGCTGCGGCGGCGGCTGCAGAAGCCCGAGCAGCCGCGGCCGCAGTGGAGGCTAGAGCCCGAGCGGCGTCGGCGGTTGCACCCCGGGGAGTTTAAGATGGCGGCGGGGGGGGCGGCGGGCCTGCGGGAGGAGCAGCGCTACGGACTGTCGTGCGGGCGGCTGGGGCAGGACCGCATCACCGTGCTGCATGTGAAGCTCACCGAGACGGCGATCCGGGCGCTCGAGACTTACCAGAGCCACAAGGTGAGGCGACGGCGCGGCGGCGCTCGGGGAGGCGAGGCCCGCAGGACGCCCGCC